TTTTAATACTACTCAATTTAATTTTGTTAAAAAGTTTGATTTTCAGTATAAAGTAATTTATAATAACAATTTGTACAAACGGCAATCTGACTGCAGTCCATTTTTAAGAAAGGAAAACTTTACTATATACAACTAATACCAAATAATCATCTACAGTGATTTTATTATTATCTACTTACTTATTTAACTCTTCTTACATAACGAAGAAAAAACTTTGGATCAAAATTCCATTATAAATTATTGATTTCGTCTTAAATTTGTCCTCTTTGAAATCAGTTTTTCACTCCAATTTCCATACTCATCATTGCCATCTATTAATAGGTATGATAATAATTTGATAGTGTATGGACATAGGTACTACAACTAAACTGTATGGATATTTGATTGGACCAATATCATGACGTCTCTTTCTATATACCTGTATCATTAATTAAGATAAAACTGAAATCTGAAAAAATAAGTACGTATGTAACTAATTTGTAACTTCATTATAAATATACCTTTAAAATATATTAGATTTCGATTGATCATTAATTAGGTAATTATCTGAATATCTGATTTACATGAAAACCAAATTCTACTTGTCTGGATTGAAAAATAATTTATAATATCTTTAAACAATTAATATTTCATGGGTATAATAGGTAGGTAGTAAAAAGTATTCTTAACTATATATGTACAAATAAAAAATTATATCCAATGTAATAATGATTATTTGTATAAAAAAAAAGTTATTCTTATGAGCTAAGATTAAATTTGTGTTTGAGTTATACAAATAAATATTGAATTATTGCAGATGCATCTTATATTATAATCTTGATTTAAAACAACGATAATTTAAATTTTAAATTTACGTAATTGTGTAGCCGCATTTGTCGAGACTTGTTAATGGTTGAATAACGTCCATCAAAAATGAACAATAAAAAAAATAAATATGACTTGCGATTTCCATCGAATTGTGTTTATCTTGGATTTGCACGTTTGGTTCGGTGATTGTTTCGCTTCAATGCTGGTATGGACCAATCAACCACAATGACGCATTGAACATAAATCCTTTTCAAATTTTATAACTTTTGCCTTGGGTGAGATACAACTTTACAAAATCACTGATTTTGGTTTTGAGATAATTCTAATAAATAATCAGAACAAAAAGTTTTAATACCGTATAATAAAATTGTAGGTAGGTCGGTACTATAAATGTTAATAGTGATTCAAAATGCAAACAATATAATATAACTTTTTTAGATCAATTTTCCCCCTCACTCAAAAAAAAATCGAATAATTTTGAAATCAATTCTATTATTCATTAAATGAATCAAATACATTTATTTGACAAAATATATTGCAGTCCGTCGAAAATTTCTAAATATTTAAATCCCCTACCTCTTATTTCATCTAGAATAATATTATAGAAGATTATATAATATACTCCTTTAGTTGTACAAAATATAATATAAACCAGGTAAAAATAACTATTTTTTTTTATGATATAGGTACAGATTTAACAGAGTAAAAGTATTGATAATATATTATATTCAATGTGCAATATTGAATGTACTTTAATATTAGCTTAAGGCATAATTTATGAAATGAAGTGAACATACATTTCAAAATATTAATCATCAAATTTTCATTTAATCTTTCATTGCGGATCACTGATTCCATTATCCATAATCCCATATGAAGACAGTCACATAGATAAATACATTTAATGACAACCTACTTATAAGCATTCTTCTTCAGTTTTCATTTTACAGTCTATTCTATACATAGAAACTACCTATAAAATATTTAGTGTTTCTGCATTTTCAGTCATTTGTTGTTGAACAAATAATATTTTAAACAGAAATTACATTTAAATTTTAATGAAAAATAAACGTAATAAATACTGATAATACTCTTATGACATATTAACCTAATATTATACTAATATAAAAGTGTAATATTAGTATCATGTAATAGTGACTGTTAAAATATAGTCTAATGTACGGTTTATGCTGGTAAAATTGTATACATATAAATATATATGATAATATTATATTTTATATATTATATTATTTATGTTACAAAACTAAAATCTTGAAATATTATGAATACAATATGACGTATTAATATAATATAAAGGTCACTGTGATTGTAATAAATGCATATTTCCTTTCTATATATGTACCTGAAATGTGCCTTAACAACTTTTACCAGTTATATACCCTCATCACCTGACCAATTATTTCGGTTGACACTGTCTTAACTGTGTATATTATTTACACGTTCTTACTAAACTATAAAAAATGAACCGACGGACCTAATTGGCGCTTTGGTGACAACCACAGAATTCAGAGATACGCTGAAAACAAAAAAGAGTATATTACAATATATTTTTAAAGTTAACAACTACTGCAGATAGTTAGGTACTTATCCACAGTTTATTATGTAAAATAAAATCTATCGCGGTAAACATAATAATAAATTATAGTAATGCGTATGTTTATTTATATATTATGAATATGAGTGTAGTAAATAGTTAATAGTAATTAATTATAAAGTATTTCGATTACTATATTATAGTATCTATACTGACTTAAAACTGATACTATCGTTCAATTCTCATTAGGTATTAAATGTTTAAATAATATTAATAAAACACAATGGTAAATTGCTAGTGGTTTTACTTGTTCCGTTTTACATATTATATCGCATGTACATTATACGTAGTTTATCAAAGCTGTTTGAGTGTTAGACAAGAAAAATATCATAGAAAAATCAGTTTAAAACATACACAAATGTCATATTTGCACTCTTCCCGAGAGCAAATCGTCTCGATCTAACAGAAACTTACACCGTAGGTTTGTATTTTATGGTATATTTTCAAATTTATCATTTCAATTGTCGTGTAGTTTTCCACTGTGGCATTCTTTTTCTTGTTTATTACTCATGTCGAGCAACAAAAAATAATATGACTTCTCGGCAGTGGCTTTATGTACATGTATATTATTTTTATACGACAACTCATCATTTATCCGTCTGGCATCGGGAAAAAACATGTTTTCGCTACAAATGCCTCTCGGGAAAAACATATTCGCCAACCACACATATAATAATATTATGTGCCATTACTTACTTTTTTTTCACGACTTCTCGTCGTCCCCCGAAAGATGTTCAACAACACCAACATCAATGTGTCAACAAGTGAGGACATCACAGCATTAGCATCACACCACGATGATAATTAATTTCTACCGTGGTAGATAGTCGTAACAAAGTTAATTTATTCTGTCCGCCTATTTAAACACCCCCGAGGGACAATTTTCCATATAAGCATTATTTCCGGACCGATAACAATAAAGGACTAATGAAACTTCATTGTCTTCTCCCATTCAACGGGTTCTGTTTGTCGGCTGATAATAATTTCCAATATAAACATTACAGATCCAATGCCCTTATAAACATAAAAAATAAACATTATTACGTTTTCTTCGTAATAATGAAAAATGTGATTTTTTTTACTCATAAACATTTTAACTTATCAACACGGTTTATTTTGACTACGAAGCAAGACGTTTTAGTTAAATGATTATAATATAATATTATGTTTCTGTAATGAAAGAACTTAAAAAATTAGAAGTTGAAGTAATTTATACAAATAATTTAAATTATAATACAATAAAAATAAAAATAAAAACCAAATAATGAAATATTTTCTTCTTGGAATTAATTCAATTTGAAATAGCAATTATTATAATTCAATAACGAATAAATTAATTGATTAGTTCTTAATTGATATTGTATATTTTTATTATATAAACGAGTATGATTATAATTTAAACTTAAGTAACCCAAATCCCAAATTATACGAAATCGAGTAAATTATCTTTTAAACTTATGTGTAATAAAATGATCAAGATAACCCTCTTTTTAACAGTAATTTTTATATACTTTTTTCCTTGCTGAAAACATTTTCTTTTAAGCTATACCCTACACATATAAAAGTTATTTTTTATTCAACGACTAAAATACGTAGAAAATGGGTTATGGGAGGAATAATAATGGAAACACTTTGGTAAAAAATAAAAATAACGAATTCTAAAACTGTGGTATGAATACATTTTTAAAGTTTTTTTTTTCTTATTTGTACATTTTATTTAAAAAACCAACGAAAAAACTATACAAAATATGAGATTTATAAAATATATTCGCCTTCATTTAATAATTTAATAATAAATTTAAAACTTCAATAGTGAATAACACTTTATGTTCTTCCGATTAACCACAAATAAAATATACACTTTTTATAGTGTAAGAAAATATATTAATGTGTGCATATATTTTGTACATAATTTTTAGTATATACTGTCCACAGTGGATAACTTTTTTTTACATATTTGTAAAATAGATCTAATTCAATAGAAAAACTGTTGTATAGATAATTTAAAAAAAGTATGTTTAAACAAAAAATAAAACTTTTTAAAAAACTTGTATTAGTTTTATTAAAATAAAATTCCGAAAGTAGAAAAAAAATCAATATTGAATAAATTTATAGATATTTTCCTGTCTATATTTCAGATTATAACTCAGTTTTTTGAACGTTAGTATAGATAAGTAATCTCTTGTGTCTCGTCCTCGTACACAATGTTGGTATATGTAAGAAAACTAATATATAACCAAGATGTTTTCATATATTTCATGGCTGAAAAACTAAACATTATTACCTATATCAATTATAAAACATCCGAAGAAGACAAAAAAATTGGATGTATTCTTTTTTTGTTATTATTTAAACGTTAGGTACTGACAACTTTTGTATTGATATAAACGGCTAATTAGCAATTTAGTTTTAAACCCAACATAAAACAATTCAAAATTAATTAATTACATAATTTACAAAACAATAATATATGACTTAATGCCAAGTCTGATATCACAATGAAAACTACAGTGAAGCCGGACTGTATAGAAGCAGAAATAATTTAGATTTTAAAATTAAATACGACTTAATTTTTTAGGTCAAAATGCATCATAGTTGTTGCATGTGGATTTTAGTCATCGCAACAGCGGTATGGACGGACGCAATCACAGGACATGAGGACAAAGTCGGAATTAAAAGTCAACAGGTGCAGCAACAGCAACAATCTGACATTATGCAGACAATGGTGGACGGTGGTGGACATCAGTCGATCCAGATGACATCTCCGGCGGAAAGTTATTTCAACGACCCGTTGGGCTATTTGGCCAAACGCGCGCACAAGCAGTACGGTTTTGGACTCGGAAAACGTCTTTACCGGCAGTACGAGTTCGGATTGGGAAAACGGTCAGCGTCAAAGCAGTACGGATTCGGTCTGGGTAAACGGGCTGCGCTCAAGCAATACGAGTTCGGCTTAGGAAAACGAGCATCGCCGACCTTCTATAGTTTTGGTCTGGGACGGCGGGCTTCGCCACAGTACAGTTTTGGACTCGGAAAAAGAGTAAGATCTTAAGATCACTGTAAATACTGTAAATTTTATACGAAATACAATATTTATTGTATTGATTCGTTAATTTGAATAGAAATAAAATAAGAGCGATGACCAATGGGCAATGACCGTTCTGTAACACAAAATTAATTATTAATACATTTTCAAAAACTGAACTGTTAGTTTATTTGAGTCATTTTATTTCTTCTCATGTCACTTAGTAAGAATTAGATAGGAATGGATTTTTTAAGCCCTTAAAGTATACCTAAGTTATGTGAGAGATATCCGAAGAGATAATATGATAACCCTGAATAAAATGTATTTTAAACTGTAATTGGAGAAATATAGATTTTATAAATCATAAATAATTATTTTTTTTTAACGAATGATCTTGGATATCAAAATAAAAATTAAGCAGCCGTCAATAATAATTGTATTCGTGTGACACATATCTAGAGTCCTGATTCTAACGAAATGTATCATATATTCATATTATGTAGAAAACATTAAAAAAAAAATGTATTTGTAATCAAAATGAGTCAAAAAACAATTAGGTACGTTTACATTTTTTAGCACATGGTTGAAGGGTGAAGTATTGTGATAAATTATCCATTATCAAATGAGTACGTTTAATGAAGGTATGGAAACTAGTTCGATAATTATTGTGAAGATCTCGGACACCAATGCAAATAATATGTGTACACTACATGATACTATAGTTCATAATAACAATTGATTGTTATTGCTCATTATGCATTGTACATTATAAGTTATAACAGATATTATTGGTAGGTATTAAAAACATGGACGAAAAGATTCCTAAATTTTATTTTTATATTTTTATCAACATTTTTTACATACTATAACATTTAAAAAAATATCGTAGGCCGGTAGGGCCCTTGCATATTTTTAAGTGTAGTGAAACTTCACAATATTATTATTAATTATATTACAATATATCGTGTGTTGATTCTTATTAAGTGCTTATTTAGACTAATATATTTTACTTCATCGAGTATGCTCTATGCATGGATTCAGACATCCAGTATAATATAATATATAATGCTTTGAAACCAATTTAAGTCAGGCAAACAAAAAAAAATTGGTTTGCTTTAATCAAAATTAATTAAAACATTAAACCAAAATATATTTTTTAAGTAAAATAAAATGTAATGTTTGAGTTATTTTTATTTTTACAATTATATTTTAAACACTTTTCGTTGAATTAATTAGTTTTGTGGATCTTAAAAGTGACAGGGAGAGAAAATTGAATCGTTTTTTGATTAAAATTTCAATTAAATATTTTGCGGTAGTAATTTAATTGTACCTTAATCGTTCGACCATTAATTTTCAGCTATGGAAATAAAATGAACAAATATAATATTATTTAATCATACAACTTCTGAAAATATAATGATAGTTAATATAAATAACAATTATGGTTTAATTTATTAAAATATACGTTTTATAGTAAACTTATTAGGAAGCACAAATATTAAATCATTAAACATTTAAAACTACATACACTGTATATACAAATTTCATTTAATATTAGACATTAATCACACCATGTATTAAAGGCCGTACTTATTTTAAAACATAGTTTAACCAAATCTAATATATAATAGGTAATAAGTAATAATTATTTACCTTGATGGAGTTAAGTTTTAGCATGAATACAACGATTTACGGTATTTTATAACAGGACATAGAACGTTCATAGTACCTACTTATATGAATGTTTTTATCATCATAGAGTGACGCTGTGCCACACTAGTGCCACTAATATATTATTATTATGTAGTATTGTAGTTGATAGGTTTATTAAAGGTATACAAATCATAACCACGTTCTAATAATTACTTCAGTATTCCGTTTTCACCTATACTATTACGCTAACAAAATTAGTCAAACGTGGCATTAAAAACTAAACTAACTTACCTACATACTAACTATTTTTTTGGTCTTAACGTAATAATATCTGTTATAAATCGTAACCACTTCATTAATATTTTTCACTACATTTACTTGCCAAAAAAGTTTGAGAAGCACTTTTGAATACAAACGAAATGTAGGCACCTAACTATAATATACATAATATTATATAGGTATAGGTATACCCTAGTTTATGAATAAATATAGGTAGGTAAGCCGTACGCAAAATATACGACATATACGCCACTGAACAGTGAATAAAATGTATATTATTATAAACACAAAGCTACAGTTTAGTATTAAGACACTATTATATAAAGAGCAATATAACGACAATAATATATTGTGTTAAATAATGAATACAAGCCCGGATTAAGGGGGGAGACAGAGATACTATCGATCTAATGGTGCGAGTATGCGATAAGGTTTTTGAAAATAGATTTGGATTTGTCGGAGTTTAAACTTAAAATCAACTTTCTCACATACTTGATTTTTTTTTGTCTTAAGTTTACACCGAGACAAATTGAGTTTCCAATTTTTTCAATTCACTTTAGTGTGACTTATATAAAGGTAAAATAAAAAATGTGGAAGACTTAGTGAAAAATTAAAATCTGTATCTCTATCATGTCGTTTAACACGTCAAGGAAATCATCGATTCCAATCCCCGTAATAACAACTAACAGAACTGTGTTTTCACTTTTTTTTTTCGTCCATACGCTGTCAGTGGACTTAATCCGGGCTTGGTCGAATTTGAACAATTGTTAACATTATTATTATATTTATGTATAACAATATAACTACCATGACCGTGTGTGATGTTATATGGTCAACAGGTGTCGCACCCGTCATTCTTAAACGTGGACGACCGCGATTCGGACTACACGTACAACGACTTGTCGGAGGAGAAGAAGAGGACGGCGGACGATATGGGTCACGGCCAGCGGTTCGCTTTCGGGCTGGGCAAACGAGGTGCGGGGGCGGAATGGGACGACGGCGACGGTGAAGGCGACGACTCGGCGCCCATTTGGCACCCGGCCGTCAGGCGAGCTCGTCTCCAGTACGGTTTCGGGCTGGGCAAACGGGCTGACCGCGACTATGACGCCACCATCGGTACCGAGTACGCGGATACGCTGCAGTTGGCTGATGACGTCGCTGACATCAACAACTAAAAGAAATAAAAAATTTTCAAACAAAAAACACACACACACACACACACACACACACACACACACACACACACACACACACACACACACACACACACACACACACACACACACACACACACATACACACACAACATACACACACACACAAACACACATGCATTGAAGCATACATATACATACATACAACATACAAGCATACACAGTGGTAAACTTATTGTAGGTGGAGATTAGTGGTGGTGTGGGGAGTTATCCCTCAAATACAATTTTATAATTTTAACGTCTGACGAATATAGTTATTTTATAGAGTATATATGAGAATTATCTGCTATTCACTCAAAATAAAGTTTTTATCTTTGACCCCGACTCCTCGACCCATCTCGTCCTGGAAATAAAAAATAATTTATTTTATCAAAAGTACCTATACCTCTACCCAATAACAATTCGACAATTCAACACATTTTTGATTTTTTGTTGTTATTGGAGTTTTCTTATATAATATTTGATCATTATCGACTTTCTTTAAAATAATGTGTTGTGAGTATCATAACGTAGCCAATCGGTAGTACCTATTAATAATAAAGGGCATACAAACATTTAAAATATAGTGGTTGGCGTATTTGTTTGCCTTTTTAAACAAAAAGATTGTTTAAAAAATAAATTAAGCTCCCCGAGCATTTGACTAAATCTCCACCTATGAAACGTATACGGTAATGCATATTGTTTGATAAAAATCAGTATCTACAAGCAGCTCGCAGAAACATATTATTAAAAAAATAAAGAAATAAATTACAATAATAAAGAAAACAGACCGAAAATTTATTTTTTTGTTTTTCTTACAGTGCCAAATTATAATAATAATAATAATAATAATAATAATATAACATAATATTATATTGAATGGGTATAATATACACACACGTAAAACTTCCGTTTGCTTATTATTATTAATACGATTATTTAATATATAGTCTAAGATTATGTCTGTATGCAATTTGTATTGTTATAATATTATGTGGATTTTACGGATGGACTTTACCTAACGGGTTAAAATTACTTTTATCATTGATTATAGAAAGTTATTCTCAGTCCGATAATTAATTCTTATATCAAAAAAAAATGTACATTTCTAAAATACCTACAACGATATTACTGCGAGCTTCCCTGTAACAGTTGTTTTGAACGCCTCAAACGTAGGTACAGTAGCAGGTATTATAATTTATTGTTTTAATGATCCTATCCTAGACGGGGTATCATTCAATTTTAATACTAACTGTTATTTGAACGAAATAAACATAATATTATATAGGTACTCCTAACATTCATGTTATTTTCTCGATACAATTTTTGAGAATCCCAACCGATGTCTTGTCTCCGACAATGAATGAAAATCAAATAAGAAAACTTTAAACAAAGTGCGTATTATTTGTGGGTTTATTTTGATTAACAAAAGATTAAATGTGAAATTATAATTAAAATAAATCTCATATCCTTGCAGTAATATGGTTTGTAAATTATGATACTCTTTATACTAATACGTCTTTGTTGCATTTATTTATACTTGACATAATATTGACGTTGTAAAATACACAAAATTTAGGTATGTAAAACTAATCATATGAATGTCTTAACGTTAAATCTACAACTAAACAGTATAATATTATATAATCATATTATTCGTACATATAAAATATAAAACATAGTATTATAAAGCTAATCATATAATCGCTTTAATATAACAGTTTACAAATATATAATATTCTATTAATTTATATATTATTATTATTATTTTGAACTATGGTAACAATTTATCTACTTATATCAATATGCTTAGACTATATTCAACTAAAATATTTATTTAATATTTTATGAATACACTTTTATAGATGCAATACCTACATATATTGTAATAACCATAATACTAAACTAGAATATTGTATAATAATTCTAATAAAAATAAATCCCTCCCGGAAAATTACTTTTAATAGTATGATATTATGTTTCTCGATAACATTACACTATCGACAAAGTTGAAATTGTTATTTTTTGGTCTCTTACACTCTTAGTTGTGGTAATTATACTGTATAAGCAAAAAACTTTATTTATTATTTCATTGCACTGTATCTGATTTTAATATCCCAAAATACTAATAAATTTCACATTACAACTGTGTAGTTTCTTGTATTAAATCCAAAAGAACAATATTATATTATTTACTATTAACTTCAGTCCCATGATTATTATTATTATTACGATCATCATAAAAATTTGGTACCTACTAATATCATTTTCATGTAAAAATTGGTCTTTCTCTTTCCAAATTTTAGTATGGTCTTATACTTTTATACAACCATAAAATATTATTTCAAACATTTACAATGTATGAATGGGAAATGTAAAAGCTGGTGACTGGTGGCTGACGGTTGATCACTAGTACTGCATCGTTAGTTGCTGCTGGTGCATATTAATAGTTATAGTTTATTGTTTTAATTTAAAAATTAAAACAACGGTAAAAGATTGCATTTGTAAAACGATTTAAGTTGAAACTTGCCAGTTTATTATACTATAATGTAGCTGCTATATGAGTATGTATAGTATAAATATATTATAAGAGTACCACCTCTTAATAAAATGAATCAAGTGGGGCTAATTATAAAATATAGGAACGAAATATTTTATTAAAAAAAAAAAATTAAAAGATACTTACAACTACATTCAAACTATACCTACATATAATATTATCAGTTACTTTGAAGTTTGAGTCGTACCTAATTTGTATACAAATTAATTTTAAAACTATATTTTCATAGAACAAAAAAGTTTAATCTATTACTTAGTTACACCGGTGTATAGATTAGATAGGTACATTATTATTTGAAGTTGAAATTAAAAAGTAAAACCAAATAACTAGGTATAAGCGAAATTAAAGGAAAACAAACCCGATCACATATACTTTGTTGTTGTGTGAAGTTTCAAAATCATTATGAAAACATAAACGTTTATTATGCTAATGACTATTTTTAGTATTTTATACTAAAACAAATGCATTCAAAATCGAACAAATATAATTTCAACAGAAATAATAATCAAACTAATATTTTATGTACTCGCCTAGTTTTTAGTAAAATAATGATTCTCATTAAAATATTGATATTTACTATTTAGGTACCTACTCCTTTCAAATAATATTCAACTTATTTTATAACAACATCTAGATGTTTTAAAAAAACTATCGATCTAAATAATACTTTACATATAGGTACCTGTTGGCTGAGTAGAAATCTTCAATTTCATAAAAACGACCACAACTGTGAAGCCTTGCGCAAAGTCTCCATTTACAGAAGATACAAAAGTGTCTTTATCTACTTAAATGTGTACGACGCTTTTCCTTTTAAACCATTGTCGTTTTGAGTACGTATTCTGCGTAAAACATAGCTCTATAAAAAGTATATATAAAAAAAATATTTAATAAACACAAACCCATATGAATGTATGGTATGTATTCAAAAAAAAATACATGTTGACAAATACAATGAAGTATCTTTTTTTTACACTGGGTTGATTTTCTAGACTATTCCTAACAGATACACGACATAATATAATAGATGATATTATAGTTTGATGAATATAATAATGGTTGTAGACATATTTTTATTTGACATCTTGGTATCAACGACAAGGTTATTAGACATGTAAACTATATTATAGCAATAGTAGACCTAGTGTACGCATATTATACACGATACGACGTGTCCTACTTAATAATATTGAACTTGAATTATTTTTTGAAAACATGAATTTCTTTTCGTATTTGTACATAACCATTTAAGGGGACGCTACCCATACGTTTGTTATCTCCGTCTTACACACGCACGGCATAGCAAATTTCCGTTCACTAGTTTCAATAGTGTGTTGATAGTTTTAATATTACAGTGAATTGGCTCATACTTTTAGGTAAGAATGTTATATGTGCTTAAGCATTGGCGATTTTTCAATGTTTTCATATCCGAGTAAGATAATATAATGTGTATGTGAAATATCAAAAATTAAAAATGCTCATATCTCGCTTGAAAATTAAAATATCGACTAAAAGCCAACTCTTAAACACAGATAACGTTGTTAGCTAAAAATGCTATGATAGGTCAATTAACTCTAATGTCAAAAATAACAGCGTACTATTGAAACTAGTAAACGAAAATTTGCTATGTCGTAGGTAAGTGTGTAAGACGGAGACAACAAATGCATGTGGGTAGAGTCCTCTTAAAAGATTAATCACAAGTACCAGATTCTTAATTCAGGCCAATGAGACGTGGTGTATCTTGGAAATTATAAAAACGATATTGTGTTGGGTCATTATTATCAGCAATGGAAAACGTTTGAATGAAAAGGCGGAAAAATAATTCAACTTTTCCCTTAATCTCAATACAAATAGTTTCGAGAAACTGTAGACATCTTATAATAAATTAAAACAAATTATACATTAGGTTAAGATTTAACAAACGCTTATTTAAAAAATATTTTATTTCCATTCGGTTTAAATGCTGTTCATTGCACCGAATTAATTGAAGGATAAACCGCAAATATTGTTATAATGATGGCGCAGTATTGTAGTGAGGTGCAATTATGTGTATGTTTTGAAATAAAATTCCGTAATATTGAAGTCGTTATTCTATGATCACTTACAGCAAAAATTAATTGACCTCATAACTCATAATGCCTCACAGGTACCAGTGTCGATTATGTATAAAATTTAACAAAATTGCTGTAAAATATTTTTGTCTCACAGAAATATGAATAATAACAGTATTTATGAAATTCTATGTATTTAATGGTTGTGCCTGAATAGAGCCTATCTAGAACGATAATCATAATATTTGTATTATCTATCTACTGAAATTCATTAAAAAAAAAAAAACCGGTCAAGTGCTAATCGGACTCGCGCACGAAGGGCTCCGTGTACCATTTTCTATAATTCGGCAAAAAAATCATGTCTGTTGTATCAC